CTGAGATTTACAACATTCCTGCCTGGCTCCCCATCCAGATTTTGAAGAACCAGTCACTCTTATAAACAGGAACTGGCAGCCTGTAAATAAACATAATGGTGGAATTGCTAATAAGTTCTATTTCCACTAAAAGTAACTTTTTTTGCTAGGTATGAGGCTGACAACATGAATTCCACATGGCTGACCATTTCCTACTACTCACCTCTCCAGCTGAAAGCATCCTTCTATGGTAACTTTTTATCACATTAAAAATGTTATTCTTGAAATCACAGACACCCAAGTTAAGATTTCCATCTGATTATTATTAATCTTACTACTAAAGTGGGTTGCAAAAAACAAAAGTTTTGTATCAGTGTCTCAAACTTACAGTGCCACAACTACTTCTACATCTTACCAAAGATACTTGAGGTTACTACTTACCCAAGGAATGCAAGCAACTGCCCTGCCACCACAACTCTCCCACATATTTCTGACAGTTTTGGTAATAGCAGGTAATTCTAACTTTTGGACATTCTATAGTGCTTGATTTCTGCAAAAGTTTAAATGATAAACTTTTATGAGTTAATAATTTTGTCATAAGATAGATATATATATAGATAGATATATATATATATATACACACACACAAAAAAAAAAGCTAATTAATACTATAGTATAAAAATCATGTTAAGAGCTGTATACATATACACAAATCAATTAAGTTTCTTGCTCTCTTAATTGGAAAATTAGCAACTGCATTAATTGCAGTCACAGAATCCAAAAGAAAAAGCATAATACTGGGGAAGAGCTAACAAGGTTTTAATAGAGAAAAGCTATGTCTCACAAACCTACACCAGTTTTTGAGGAGTCTAGTTTGACGGATATGGAATATCCAGATTATACCAACGCTAGTCTTCCCTGAAACTTCAAAGACTCTTGAAAAAACACCAAACCTAACCATCAGAGAGAGGTAAAAGAAAGCTACTATTGACTGACAGCTAGCAAAAAAGTAGGAATCATCTCAAACCTGTTTGGCTGAATAATTTCATAGATTATGCTAAGAAAAGGGGTGATAAAATTTGCTACTGTTATGAAATTATCATATAAGTAAAAACCTAAAATGTACTGTACAGGATTATGTGCAAGATCTACAGTAGTAACTGACTGAACAACAAAACACACAATAAAGAATGGATCAACATAAAAATAATACTCCTATTTGCACTGCAAAATCCTCATACTCTGCTGTGTATTACCCCATCTATATGTGTTTCCATATCTTGTTAATTGTTGTTGCCTCATTCCAAAAAGCACATATGTATTTTGCCCCAGAGTCCACAAACTGTTAGAAATTGTGTAGAAATCTCACGTAGCAGAAGGGGAAATAAAAATGCAAATCTCAGAGCATGAAGGTTATGACAAACAGCCCCCATTTTATCCTTCCCCTCCCACTACAACAATCCTACTTTAGCTATTTTCCTCTGTTTGTCTGTCTCCTTTCTTCTTCCCACCACACAAGTGGAGAGTTCCTATGTTTTCCCACTCTCAGCCTAGAAGAGTGTTGAGGAAATTAATTTTATCCTTTCAACACATGAGATTATGGATTCTAAGTGACCTAGCCTCTTATTGTGTGAAAACAGGATTTTAATACTTCCGACTTGTCATTAATCAATATATTACTAGCAAATTGTTCTTGAAATTAAGCTGTTGCAACTCACATTGCTGATGTAAAAAGATTTGGAGAGGAGACAGAGGTGCCTAAAATACAACGAGATTCAAAGCAAAAGGAGCCATGTAACCTCCTGAATACAGAAAGTGAAACTGATACTAGCTACATGAAGAGAATCGTCAGGGGAACTCTGACAAGAGTCAGAAGTGTATGGAAAATATAAAGTACAATATAAAAGAGAAAAAAATGTGAAAATTCCTCTTCAGAGCATTTCAGTGAAAGGGCACAAAGCACGTGCTCCATTACATTTCCACACAGGAACTGACAGTGCCTGGATGTTTCTGAATCAGCAAGTCTAACACAAAGGTATTTTTTTCCAGGGGTCAATTTTCCCATTGATGCAAGGAGGATTTACACATGCAAGTCCCATTAACATTAATAGGAGTTACCTACATAAATCCCCCTGCAATGATAGGAGAAAAGACCCCATAGTCTGCAAGGATCTAAGTTCTAATGATTACCTGTCAAATGGCCCTAAGCATCATCATCACCAGAAAAAGCAGACGTAGCAGCTTCATGGCTGAAAATACTTCCACAGGAACAGTAACTAACTGCAGTCATACAGATAAGGCAATACAACAGCAGAAGGGAAAATGACATAAAAACGACTGTATGAATATGAAGAGTTAATCCAATTAACCAGGTTAAAATGAAAGTACTCATTAAAAAAGGAATTCAAACATATCAAAGCACTCCTTAGGAAAAAAAAAAAAAAAAGGTGTGAATATTGTATGAGCTCCAAGGTGCCTGAAGGATAATACAGCTAGTTGTTTAAAAATTCAATTAACCTTATCTTTCTTTAACTTGATTTATTAATAATCGTACAGATAAATTGCCAGTTTTTAAAAAGTCATGTTATCTTTTGAATACATCCTGTATGACAAGCCTTAAAAACTACTTCAAATAAGCCTAACCCTCACTTTGTATGCTTGGAATCATTTAAAGCAAGAACAAAATGCAGTTCCATGCATGATTTCTGTAAAATACAAAGATCAACAGTCTTATCTACTGCTATTGCAAGTGAGCTATTGGGTACTCAAGTACCATAAGAAAAACATTTTATGTTTCCATTCTCCATACAAATGAGACATGAAAAGAGTTTTTAAGCAATCAATGTAGTGTAAAGTCATAGCCTACAACTTGTAGATTATTCTGTCTTATCTAAAATTAAATTTGCAGTATTTCCAAACTTTGCTTCATGTGGACATGAAGCACTAAGATGCTACTTTATATAAACTTGCTAACTTACAGAGACATACTGTCACACACGTGAACTTCAATCTTCTCATAGATGGCAACATGATGGAAGTAGACAACAGAATTACCAGGACATCTCAGCTAACAAATGAACTGCTTTTCTTGTGTAATTGAAAGAAAACACAGAAGAATGCACTTGCAAGTAAATCTTTAATTTTCAAACAATTTCCTTGTAAACATAGAAGATGAAAAATTCAACTATGATCCCTACTACTGAAAGACAAACAGGGCCTAGGTCCTCCCTTAGTTCTTGTACAGATCTGTAGATGTTAAATACAATTATCACATACTCATGCTTTCCAATACACATAAAAAATAGAGCTAAATGAAGAGGCAGCCTGCTTATTACTATATATAAATAACTGCTCAATCACAAGCATCCAAAGATAACTGTTGTTTAACATTGGAAACATTTCAATCACATATTGTTCTGAGGACTTTGGGATTATACACACAACGGTACCTATCCAATAAACAAAGAATGTAAACACTAACAAAACAGGTTTTGAAATGCATACTGGACAGTGTATTATGATGCAAGACAAAGTGAAGTTAACTGCATTTTTATGCTGTAAAAAAATAAATAAATTAACCTTTATGGCACGAAGCCACTTTAAAGGCAGGTACGTGCACTGCAGAACTGTACAAAAGCCTGGATGTGTCACGTTCAGGCAGAGCTGAATATTCATTACTCAGTGGCATTTTTTAGTTACGTACAGTATTTAAGCAATGCTAGAACTATATTTAAGTTCACGTAGAAGTTTAAACCCTGACTCATCAAAATTCACTGATCTCTATATTTAGATATACTACTGATCTACTGGGTGTACATTTTAAGGTAAATCTTTAAGTAACTGATAAATATTTTTCATCATCTGAATATCTAATTTCAAGCATTGTTCAGAAGAAGTGCAAGTTTATCATGGTCACTTAACGACAGCTTTCTCATTTTGTAATTTTTCATAAAAACTAGGCTTATAAATACTTTGATAAATTTTATAGTATAAATGCTTTATGATTTATCATTACAAAACACATAATTTACAACTATCACACTAATTTTAATCCTATTAACTGGGATCAATACAAACCTTTGGAATTATCAGTTAAACCTTCTCCTCATCACAAAAAACCTCAATCAATGATCATCTAAACTTCTCAGACACCATAGTTCAAAAAAATTAGCTACTGGCTTATTTAAGACCCAAACACTGCAAAAAATCCAGGGAAACTAACAACACTCCATTTATGATTTTAAATTTTGTTGGGAAATCTAGCATTAAGTTTAAATTGTGCTATTTTCCTGACTACAGTAAATTAGGTCACTAGTAAAAATGTGTGAGTTATTAGAACTTATTAAAAAAACCACCTGAATGTAAAATAGTTTAATGTGAGGAACATCTATTTGATTATATTTGTTTCTAAATTATGGCATCAATTTCAAAATCATACAAGAAATTTTTCATTATACAAATTAAACATGGCATCTTTTACATATTCTAAAGTCACTCCTGAACTGTCAATATTATTACCTTTAAGTTCCATTCATAAAAGCACTTTGAAGGACAGATTGTGAAGCTCACCTGCAACTTTAATTAGGACATATCCCATGATTTTTAGTAGAACTGTGATATGTTGTATCAAAAAATCATCTTCCGACTGGTAAGCAAACTTGCACATTTTTTCTTTTGATTAGTTTTGACTTCTTGCCTGTTTAAAAGATGGAGGATTCCTTCCAAGATGTAAAACAAGACTAAATTATCTCAACAAATCATGAATCCTATTTTAACATTTTAAATTCAAATGCTTTGTTCTATGTGTTTTGTTTAGCTCCAAACACCTCTGGATCTGGTGGACTTAGGACTATTCAGCTATCAATGGAACTATTTGACAAAGAAAGATTATTCAAGCTAAGGAGAGTAAGGCAATTGCAAATAATACGGCCATGGGTTTTTTAAACCTCTTTTTCTTACCCTCCCTCCCTTATATTTTAGTTTGGATCAAGCTCCTCTTTTACTAAGAGAACAGTGTTAATTCATTCTTCATTATCTTCCTTCTTAACAGCAGTACTACCTCCACTACTGCTTTCCTCAGCTGAGGGTTCAGGTTTTGTCTCCGGTGAATTACTGACTTCAGACTCTTCTGGTGCAATCTCATCTTCATCATAAATAATATCCTCTGGATTTGGTGGTGGTGGGCAAAATTCCTCTGCAGGAAACATTTCTTGGAAAATAGTCTCAGCCTATTCAGAAAAAAAAAAAGTATAAAACAAAGTTTACCTTTACATGTAATACCTTGCAGCAATATTTGACAGATATTTAAGATTAACCTCTGTTCTTTCAAATCGATAGTGATTTAATACTTTGACAGTATTGTAAACACATGGGAAATCCATTCCTTCTTGTGGTCCTCAAAAAAGAAAAAGCAACCTATCCTTTAACATTGTTCTATTAGGAAAGTCACAGCACAGCTTTATAAAAAATGCTCATCTTTCTACATTGCACTGAGAACAACGAAGCTGATTTTTTGCAAGCAAAATTATCTTTTCCACTATAAAAACATCCCTAGCTCAAGTCAAATGCAAAGCATAGGAAAAAATCTTGCCTCTTTCCAGAGAAGAATCCATTCCAAACGACAAGCAAAGCCAGGAAATTGTTAATATGTACAATCTGCATCATTTCTATAGGGGATTCCTTCTTAAATTTAAAAAATACAAAAAATTTCTCCATTTCTCTTTTTGTGAACAGCTCATAAATAGCTCAACTGAGAACTATTCTTATCCAAAGGAATATTATCATTGAAAAATATATGCATATTTGTCTACAATACATTTATAATTTGTTCAAAACCTTGTCTATAATTTCAATGTATTACATGAGTACACCTACGTGCACAAATTGTGCCTTTCTGAAAAGAATAGTGTAAGCAACTTTTATTTAGATAAAAGACAGTTACTCTTAAGAGATAGCTCAAGGATTTAATCTACAATGCCACTTATTCTTCAGGTCATCGAGATTTAGAAATTAAGTACACACAAATAGTCAAGATTTTTAGTGACTGCAACGAAAGAAGTTAAAAAGAAACAAGTTCCTGATAACATCACAGTAGTTGTTATTACAACATACAGAATGCAACTACAAAATCTAGGAGATAAAGAACTAAAATAATATGATCTTAGTGTTCTTGAGAACCAGATATTTCATAAAAACAAAGGAGGCCAAAAATCCTTTAAAAAAACCCCACAAGAGTGCAAGGAGCTTTGTTAACTAGTGTTTGTTAACTGTTTCTATCAGTTCTACATGTTCTTGTGCAAGTATCCCATCTGTAAGCTAGAGACGCTCAGGGATTTATTTACTGAATCAGCATGCACTTCACATTTCCATAAAGGTTTTCTTTTCCAAGTCCTTAAGCTTCTAAAGCAAACACAGACAACTGATGCAGAACCCAGTTGTGTTTTGGGTTTCTAAAAAGGCAAAGGAATACTGGCTCTCTATTTTGTCTATTTAGTAAACTCTGCCCTGAAGACAACCTGTGATGGGAGCTCCCACATGGGGAAGAATGCATTTAATCTTCATATTCATAGTGCTACCAAACACTGCACTGAAAAAGCTGACAGTAGGGTCAGTTAATGCCAAGTGCAAAGGCTGATTACATGACGCGGATTTCTGGACAAGAGGGAATTGTTTTCAGATTAATACATCATTGAGCACGTACCAAACAGCTTTCTGTGATAAACTTCACTGCCCACCCGCACTGGATTTGTATCACCAGCACACGGATGTAGGACTCCATTATTAACTGCTTAAATGACCCTGTCTGCTCTCAGCTCAATTTAATTTTTCATTTTGCTTCCAAAATTTCACTCTTCCATACCCATTTCTAACCGTTTAAAACTATTTATATAAGTGTATATATAAAAAAAACACACAAAAAATTCTATTCTCTACTTCAAAACCCTGGTTTTGTAATTTGAAAACCTCACCTAGTAAGTCTAAGGGGCAAGGCAGTAAAAATATCCTCCATACAGTGTACAAAACTACGTTTTTGAAGGTAAAAGAAAGACTTTTTATTTCAAGTCTGCACTTATCCTTGAAACTCCAAAAATAGACTTAAACTATTATTATATTTAATAGAATTTTGAGGAAAAGTGTCATATTTTGCAATAATTATATGCAAATATAGAGCAGACAAACATTTCCTATGAAGTTCTCAACAATTATTTAGTCTCCAATTAATGAATTTCCACTCCAAAAATGGTCAAATATTTATGAAATTGAACATGAAAAGAAATTCTCAGTATGTTATGTAGGACATCATGACATTGATTATAATTGAACAATTTAATGGTATGGAGTGCTTTCAGGTCTACCAATTTTTTGAGTTAACCTTATCCAGCTGAACTCATGCAGAATAACCAATAATAATTTAACAGCTCCTTCACTGCAACACTTTGATACTTATTGTAACTAATTGAGTTAGTAAATAGTTCCTTTAATATTCAGTAGTTAAGTGTACCAGCTTTCAAGTGTGTTTGAATTAAGCATGTAAAGCACTCGCATAGATACTCTAACTTGAATAAAACTGTTTCACTACTGGTTTACTATATCCCAGCTACGTACCTCGATGGCCTGTAGACAAGCTGTATGGGCTTTCATAGCAAGTTTCACAGAGAACACCACCACCACACTAACAGTAGTTTGAAATACAACACACTTGAATAACTCTGAAATCCTTCCAGATATAGAAATAAATGTAAACAGGTTAAAGGACAAATATTGGCATGACAATTTTAGTGCTTCCTCTTATGAACATGAAGATGCTTCAGAAATCTGAAACACTTCAGGGAACATATTGCTTTAGAACATGACAATTCCTGTCAGGTTATAGCAGTGAAAAAATAGAAAACTGGAGGCCAGATGCTTTACTTGATCCATACATAGAGAATTTGAAGGAGTCATAAATGACACTTTACACTTTATTTAGCCTATCCTCAGGGCAAGTAAATGCAGAAATCAAAATTATCTCAATATTATGCTAGGAATTTAACACTAAATTAAAATAAACCAAGAATGAAGTAATCTGTATACTGAGCTGTACATGGATAATTGTCTATAAAAGTTGTGGTGCCTTGCCACTTAAATAATCTATCATCAATACTATCAAACAGCATGATATAAAGAAGTCAGTAATACTAATAGTGATGAAAATATAAATCATGGCAAATATCACTAAAACAGTAAACACAGAATTGATTAGAGAAATTAGATTCAATTTTCCAAATTACCTCTCCAAGACTAATACACATAGTGGGTTTGTGTTTGTTTTTTAAAGTGTTCTGATCCATTAGTTAGTAAGTATCTCATGTTTGGAGATTTCCATCCCATTGCTAGGAAGATGAAAGTGATTTGGGGGACAGAAGGCACATCATATTACATGTATTTCCCTCCTCCACTCGTCTAGAAGATACCTGCATGCTAGATAGGAAGGTGCATTCTAACTGTGAGTTCTGCTTTATCTTCAGCCTGTTCTTCACTTTGTTCTCACATACGCTCCCCACTTTTATGCTTCCTTATAATCATAAACATGTTTACACTGAAGTATTTTTCCCTTCTAACCAGTGACCATTTGTTTCAAAATTTAAAACAGGTTAAAAAAAATGTAGCTTCTACCTACTGTTTCTGAAAGGCAAGGTTTTAGTCTCTAGATTGTTTCTCCTCTGAGATCTGCTTGTGTAACATCTGTCTCACTGATGGTGAACAGATCTAACACAAAAGCTAACTACAGCACTAGAATACTTAAACACAGCTTGATCTGTAATACCATTACTCATTGGTAAGACAAAAAGCTCTTAAGGTAAGACAAAACTGAATGCTAGAATAGGTGGCTATCAGAATTAGAAATAGGCTGCTTTTTAAGTGTATTTAAACAGCTTTTACCTTGCACTGTTTTAAATAACAGTTAAAAAAAAATCTAATTTAGAAAAGAACTCATTAACAATTTAAACCTGCTACCATAATAATGGTCCTGCATTCTTTCTTGTCTTTACAATTCTTTATCCTCTTGGGAGGCAAATTACTGCCTTGTAAAGCAAAATGAAGGGTACTATTAGCCCTTAATTATACTGTTGTGACCCTACAGTTCAGGCTGTATCAGTCTTTCCATTTTCAAATCTTATTTTAAGAGGTTTATGAATTAGTCACAAAAAATCCTGCAACTGGTTAAAAGATGGCATGCACCTTCTCTGAACACATCCATTAAAAAACAGCTTTAAAAATGACTAGTGCCAGTTCATCCTACAAAGATGTAAAAGTGTTCTCACATCAGCACCCTGACACCAGAGTGACAACTGTGGTAGACTTGCCTAAGAATTTATACCTTCCTTATCAAGGTGGATCTCTGAATGGAAGAGCAAAGGAGAAGCATTCCTACAGTTGTCTTTTGTTGAACAAGTCATAATCTACATATTCGCACGATCTTCTTGTCTTCTGCTCAACAGTAGTGGGGGAGACACAATGAGAGGTATGATATGAAGGTCTTTGTGAATTTCCACGTTCCTACCCTTGAAGATCTGCTGTCCCTCCACATTCTGCCTATTGCCAACACAGAAGGTGGCTATTTCACAATTTCTCTTTTGTTTAGGGAGCTTTCACTCTTCACCTCCAATTTCAAAGCACTAGTAGTTTGTCTTAAATTGAGTACTGGTGTGTTATGTCTACTACTAGGCAACTTGCAAGTGGTTCTCAGTTCAGAATTCTAGTTAGCAGGATATGTAGACATCCAAATACTGAAAAATAAAAATCAGAACTGAGTGTGACTTGGTGCCAAATACTATTTCAAGTTCCTGAGTAGAATGACATTCCTCCCCTCAATTCCTTCAGAGACACAATTACACCATAATTTTTTTAATACTGTGATAGTAAGGCAAAGAGAAGGTAAATAGACAGATAGCTTAATGTACCAGATTAGTAATGATGCTGAGGTTTTTTTCCCCAATAGGTTTTAGGTTTGTGACCATGTTCTGCAGGTACACTACTTCAATGATCCTTCCAACCTGAACTGTAGATGGGCTTTTCTGACCTTTGATTTGTACTGCTTCTCTATTACTATACCTCCTCTTTAACCTTACAAAAGAAAGACTACATATTTGGGGGGGTCTGTATTTCTGAATTATTTGACAGTTTTTCCTTTCCACAGTATTAGAGGAAGTAACTTCTATTAAGATCATAATCTTCAGGTACTGCTGCCTTCTAGATTCCCTTTACCTGTTCAGAATATCAACTGACCTTTTCTCAAGTCTCCTCCATTCATAATCCCACTGACATCGCTTTGTTCATTAAGCAAGGTTTTTGTCTGTCTAGCTGTGAAGCTTTATAGCTGTAAGAGTACTAATTACCCAGCATAAAGCTGAATAGCCCAGGACAAAACTAGGCTGTTTTGCACTTTGAAAGTTCTGCAACCAAAAGAACTGATGTGCCCAACCTGTTTGACAGCGCAGTCATTTCCTAAAGCAGAGTCTGGTCCAGAACAGACATAAACGTTTGAGGGTAAGCCTTCATACGAATTTCTGTCAACTCCTGAAGAATCTCTCATGTTGAAGTACACTGCCCAGAGGACTCCAGGTTTTTCCAGTTCTTCATTTTCCGTCTCTAAAAAGAAAAAAAAGTGTTTCCAGTATTTGGTGTTCATGTGTAATAAGGGAAATATGTAATCTAGCATACTAAAAGTCGATTTATTAACATGGAATTACTGTAATAAGGTAAATTTTTTCTTTAAAAGCCAATTAATTTTATTTTCCATTGTTTTCTGAGGTACTCTTTAATGGTATTTTTCCTTTACAACCATAGGTATGTAAACTTTACTTATTCTGTACTCGCTATGCCACATAGAACCAACTGCCACCTAAATATACTACCAAGAAGTTTGGTCTAAATTTAACACCTTTCCACTTGATGTTATCTAGTTTAGTCTGGATAAACTCTCTAAGCATATGACACTCTGAACAAGTCCTCCACGGGTTGTGCAAACTTGAAGCTATTGCATTCCATATGCAAAGAGAATTTTGATGTATACTTTTCTCCCCTCATTTAATAGTTTATCTTTGCATGGGAACTCTTCTCGTAACAGACCTTTGTGTGCTTTAAGGTTGAGCATCTTTAAGCCAATCTAAGGAGATTAACTAATGCTCATGGTTTAAATAAAAGAAATTTTAAAGAAAAATCCACAAAGAATACCCCAACCCCCGAAATTAACTGCAGATAAACAACTACCAAAACCCAGAAGTACTCTATTTGAGACATGTGATATGCAGTATGGAGAATCCCTAAACTGTGGAAATACTGCTAAATAAAAAGAAATGATTAATTTATATTTATATGCTTTCTCAGGACTTGTACTCTGCTACAATAACTCATTACAAATACAAAATCATCATCAACTATGTCTCGCTCGTTTATCATCTGTACCTTCTTGCAGTCACTTTGCACATTCATATAACCCCTCCATGCACAGGCAGAAAAACCTCTGGGAAGATGAAGGTCACTTTTTAGCAGTGCAGAATGAAATGGAGGAATACACAACATAGATTCTTAGCTTAATAGATACTATTTGTTTGGCATATTTGCTGTCCCCTTTTTGGTATTCTACCTCCTCTAAAATAAATGAAGCTTGTAAAAGACCTTGCGAGATTTACTTCTTTCCAAGGAAGAAACTTCTAGATAACAATGGCATTCAAAACAGTATTTTAAAGCAGTTGAATTAGAAAAAAAGAGATAAATCTATGCTATTCCTTCAGTATCTTTTTATAACTGTCAAATACTTTAAAAAAAATAGGTGCTAACCATACTGAACAGTTTGAAATATAAATTAAATTCATCAGCCTGTGAAAGTCTGAGCCTTAATACAGGGCAAGATGCTCTTTAATATATTTAAAAGTTCACATTGCTCATAAAAGTTACTTCTTCCTCATTTAGGCAGGAAAATGAATGGAGTCCTCTTCTCCAGGTGCCTTTGCCTCTTTGACCTGCCATGGCCCAGTGCTCACTTTATCTGGTGATTCATTTTCAATAACTCCAACAGTATTTGTTCTGACATTTTAATTAAAATACGACCACTACCTCATCCTGATGATAAAAAGGCCTATGTGTCAGTGAAAACTAGCTTTTCAGTGCCTCAGTGCACCTGAGGACCCCTATGATCACAGAGTTTCTACAGAAGAATTTCAGTCAGGTTCTAAACAATATATCATTTCAAAACTGGATCACTTTAAACATTAAGATTAATGCTAACCCCTCCAAATGATTAGAAGACACTAAACTGCAAGCTAATCTTTTCTTCATCAACTGAGTCTTTGAAATGCATGATGCAGTCTTAAAAATGTAACCTATATGATAAATATCAAAAGTAAGAAATTCGTGGGCTTTAAATTAACAAATATCAACATGAAAAGTGTTTGCAGCTCTCCAATCTAGTTAAGTTTTCTATTTACAAATCCTAGTTGTATTCTACGTATTTGTTTTGTAAAGGGTCTTGTAGTACAAACCTAGTAAAAAATTTACATCTTTGAGACATCAAAATAATTGCCTTTCCTATAAGCAAAAAAGAAGGAAAATACATACTATGTAATACTTTACCTCCTATTAAAAACCCTTTGTTGTCTAACAAAAACAGTAAGATATTACAAGGTAGAGGACAAAAAAAATGTAAAAATAGAAAAGAACACAGAAAAACAAACTTATGAAAAGCTGAAATCAACTCTTGATGAAACACTGTTCTTGGCTACAGAGCCCTGAGAGGAAAAAGAAAGGTTGGCCACATAAGACTTTTTTTTTTTTTTCTTAAAAAATCAGCAGGAGAAAATTCTGCTTGAATTCATGAGGTTAAGAATGAAGCATAACAGCAAATATTATAAGCAAAGCAATTATTTATAATATTTATATTATAAAATACATTAATATCTTGCTAACTTGCATATATATGAATGTAAACACTTCCACTGACAGCTAAGTGTTGTTTTCTCATACAAGAACTATAATTTACTGTATTTAAGTATAAGCATGTCTTATTTAAAAACGCTTTGCCAGGGTTAGAACACAGCAACATCTTCTATGTGCACACTACCTATTCTATAACCATCTACCAAAATATGATTAAATTCAAGATCTTGGGATTACATTTCAAAGATTTCTGTGGAACGAGCTCAAAGTATCTCAGGAACAATTTCTTTCTATGTAACAAATGCTTTGTCAACAACTACTTTCTTCTGGGACTGTGATATTGTCCATGTCAAGGTCAAAGTTCATGAAAGTGGCTAGCAATGTTTTCTTGAATTTAGGGTCAAACAGTTCATTATTGGAAATGACTGGAAATGTATCTTCCTGGTAACACTGCAGTGCATTAACAACTTTATGCTTCCACTGCTTTAAAGCAGAATCCAGAGAATTTCAACTAAGAAGCACTTCAGGAAGACAACAAAAAGATGAACAACAGTCTTCAAATAAGAGAAGGCAAAAGAAAACTAAGAAGCTTGTAACACTGAGCACATCTGGTAGCTGGAGGAGAAAAGCAGATCACTAACTTTTAGGGTTTTGAGATCTTCTGTTGGGGATACCCAACTGACAGAAATCACAAAAAACAGGTTAGTGTGAAAAAACAGATTCATAAATCTTTAATTTCACTACTACACCTTTGAAAGACATGCTCAGGAGCAAGTATCTTTCCATGAAAAACAAAGTGTGAAAAATTAAAAAGGTCCTTGTATGCTGAAGTTAAACCATAGTTCAAGAAGTCTTGGAACATTAGATCATGGAACAGAAAAACCTGACGTGTCTAATCTATCTCAGTCTCAAAATCCATTCCTTTACTTTGAAATGCTGATATCTAAATAGCAGCTCACCGTATGTTGACTCTGATGACAGATTCAGATGTTCAGTAACAGATACTTTAGTTAAAAGGGTAAATGACATTTTTGTAAAATAATCTCTTAATACTTCACTTATTTATTTTTACCTTTTTCTGTATTTAGATGGAATAACTTCTGTACAACAGGCTCTAAATCTTCCCTAGCAGTTTTAGTTGATGGACAGGTTAAATGGACTAAATCTGTTAAAAGAGAATACAAACTAATTACAATCACCAACACACAGATACATAAATATCATTTACAATTTTAAAAGGCACAGTAGGTTTTTAGAAACCACTGCTCTTCATACGAATCACTTACTTCAACCCAGAGAAGTACTGTGTTATGGGAATTCAGTGTATAGACTATCCACAGAAATTTTCTCAATACATCTCAATTATCTCTCTCTTACATATATGTTGGTAAGATGGAAGTATAATTTAACATCAGCAGTGCAGACAGAGAGAACATTATTCTATGAGAAGTTGTCTATTGACACCAGAAAAAGCAGCAGCAAGAATCTGGCTAGCGCATCCTATTTGCCATTAATGACCTCCAGAATCCCCAAGAACATTCTCATCAGTGTTGAGAGTCCAATAGTTCAACAACAGAGTAAACCCAGAAATATCACTACTTTCATCCACACTCTCCTTTAAGAGCCAAATTGGGACTGAGTGGGAATTTGGCAATTTGGCTACCCACAGTTCAAGTCTGGCTGTACAGGAGTAAGGAGGAAGCGATCTTTCTCCACTGAAATGAAAAGTTTGAACAAGACTTCCATTTCTTTTGTTGCACTAAGCAGTAAAGAGGGGATGAAGTGAACAGACCCATGTTTTACGCTACAGCTCAAGTGGGCTGGCCGTTAACAATTCTACTCCAGCCATACACAGAAGGAAGAACACTGGGAACACTGTCATGTTTTGACAAACCAGAGAGGATTTAAAGATAAGCACTGCTGAATATCAGAGAACTGTTCTGCAATGCAAGTTATGACATAAACAATCCCTTGGTACAACATAGCAAAAAAAGCTCTACAACATTTTATTCATCTACCTTCTTACAGGATGAGAGAAACAACAGTTCTGTGCTTGGGTAAGGTGAAATTAGGTTAGCTGGGCCAGGAAGGATTTATGATAATTTGCAAAACTGATTTCAAGTACTTGGGTTCAAGAGGTGCTCTGTACACATCAGAAACAAACCACAGAGTACAGCAAACCCATATTGGAAAAGGATGACACGAAAAGATTTTGGACCACAAAAACACATTTGAGGAACTGTCTAATTAATCAAAACTCACCTTACAGCATGGGTAAAGCAATGTCAGTAGGTCAAATTCTGTATTTGTGAAAACTCACAATTTTGCTTAAATAATGCAGATTTGATATTTTGATTTCTTGCTCATCTACTTGTTTTCATGAAAATTCTTCATGGAACATACTATTCCTTTATTTGTTCTGTTTTGGAAACTACTGAAGTTGCTGATAATCACCTGATGCAGCTCTTGACCTCTTTTCTGTGGCACTGGGCTCTATTCAGATTCAGACATTTAAAAGCCTCATCTTAAAGCTTTTTATAAAACCACCTTAACAGACTGATTTGCTACTGAACATTTGTCTGGAAACTTATCAGCAGAGAAGTATCTCTCAGAAAAATATCTGTCAGAGAATCACAAAGAAGTTTAACATACCTTTGTACAAAGTTTATACTGATTCATTTTTTCTTCATTACTGTATGTATGTATTACATATGACATTTCTCTCTCACTCTGAAGTCTGGCTATATTTGTGTCACTATTTACAAGTACATCAAAGATCTTGAATGATTTCCTGGCTGCAGTTATGCCACAGAAAGTTTGACACTAACTCCAGGAGGACTAGATATTTAACCCTTCATGCTTGTCTTCTTTCAGATTGCACACACAGAAATTATATCCAAACACTGATTTTTCATTTAGCCAAAGCCAAATTTCTGTATGAAAGGAATCTGTACTCAAAAAAGGTAAGTGAACACAGGTGGTGATAATGAAAGTCTCCCTGTAACCTTAACTAAATGTTTACAACCACAAACACTATAATACAACCTATTCTTTCCTCAAAAAACCCTAGCTATAAATCACTGAAGTTCACATCATTTACTTTCTATAAAATCTTTTTTATTACCTTTAAGGTTATGACTATGAGTCACAGTCATCAGTATATATTTTGATTATATTTGATTTACTCAGGTATAACTGCATTAGTTACAGTGGTTGCCAACATTTGTCTTCAAGTAATTCTTCTAGCAAGAAGAACGATGAGTTTAGTTCATGATTTCATCATTACGGTCTCAATTTTTAGGGCAAGTGAAGGAGTTTGGTTCCACTCAACTGGCAATACAGATTATGTGCCTGTCATTTATGCAGTGTGATCAAAGAGTAGATGTATTTGTATACTTATCTTAAATAATTGTTTGAAGGAGAAATCAGTCAGGTTAAAACTCATTTACAGATAATGATGTAAAAGTTTTTTAAAAAATTATGAAATATGTCCCATAACTAGAACTCAGCTATACCGAAAATACAACTATATTATTTCAATACATGAAGACAAATTTCATTAAGGAATGTAGTACCTTCTCTTCTGAAATTAAAAGAACTTATAGAGAAAAATAAATAACAGAAACCTTAATTTTTCAGCACCACAGAAATTCTCATGAAACTAATAATTTATATCTACTTGAACATCAATCCTTCTTTAGTTTCACTTCCTGCTATATATATTCTGTGAACCTTTAAATAAAATAGATCAGCTATCTGAAGGATAAATATTAACAATTTGCTTTGTAGCAGTAAGTTCTTTAATTACAGATTTACCATTGTTTGTTATTTAAGTAGGAAATATAATAATTTAGTTCACTTTCAGATACAAAGAACTGAATTCAAGCCCGTGTAACAGTAAAATAAATTGGTCATTATTAAAGTTACTTATTTTTTGTTAAAAAGGATTAGGTCAGGTAACCTCTAATTCTATTTATCTTCCATGTGTCCCAAATTAGTGATCTATTTAACAGAATTCAGAAAAAAGACTTCTGAAAGAAAAATAAAGAGCCAATAAGAACATTTTGTTGCTCATCTGTTTTAAGTTTACAGAATAAAACGTAAAGATAGTCATACAGATCTGTACATAGAAAACTGTTAATGGAACTACAACCTTCTAGAAAGGTGATCTCTTAGGTGCTTTTAGAATTACAAAATCTAAAGCAGTAGACGACAATAACAAAGTTCTTAAAAGAATTGTTATAACTTTACCTCAAATATACCATGACGCACTCCGTACCTCCAAATCTCATAATTAATCGCACCTCCACCAAAACTTCAGAAGAGAAAAAGCCCCCAGATATAGTGTACTTCAGATACTTCAATTTAATAGTTCAGCTAAGGCAATCCATTTAAAATAAATAAATAAATAAATAAAGTAACGACAAACTACCAGTAAGATTCATGTGCTTTAGAATATTTTTTTTAACCTACTGAACAAAAAATTTAATATTGTGTAAGTGAAAATGTCTTGTTTAACTACTTATTAATTTGTCAGTATATGCTGATAAAGAAGTAAGCAGAGGTGCCCTGGTTTTTACACTTACAAGTGTCCTTCATGCACGTCATAGTTGAGGAACACAACTCGATGACACAAACTGCTGGTTTGCCTGGCTCCTCTGGAGGCACTGTCAAAATGGAAACCTGTCAAGCAGGAAGAACAACTTACGTTAAAGGAGAGTAACGTGGAAGATGAGGCAACCAACACAATTCTGAGTAAAAATGAAAAATAAATGCAGACATTTATAATTTTATTTTCTGGTTTATTAGTAACAATTTGTGCAATCAATCCTGTAGAATTTGAGCGTTAAGGAATTTCTACTGAAGTCAGTAAGGCCACCTTTGTGAGGAATGTCTGCAGCAGCACCACGGAATGAAAACCTCCTATCACTGCCCCTTCCAAAATGATGAGTTTATAAACTCTGTTGGCAAGAGACTGGAAAATCGTTTTGGAACACTGGGCAGAGCACTGTTAGGTGAGAATGGCTGGAATACTTTTATGCAGGACTGCTAGTAGCAAGACTTCTCTGTCATGTATGTTCTTATTCTGTAGATCCTATTTAACCTGTAAGAATACAGGAAGCTTGCAGAAGGAACACTTACAGATTAATATCCTTTAAAATTAAGGGCTGCAAAGACTGACAAAGCAGAAACATTTAAAGGATCTGAAAGTGTACAATAAGAACTTCACACAGTAAAGTGAATGTTAAAAAAAAACCCAAAAGAAATTTGAACAAAGTTTAGACAAGATAAATAAATAACAGTTAACAGAATAGTAATGGTAACAGTTCAATAAAAAGTAAGCAAAATGAACTACCTTACAGACAGCAGCTTAGAAACTCTGTTAATTAATATAGTGTCACTGAACTAAAATAAAATAAAATTCTGAATAGTTTTATAGAGACTAACAAATTAATTATCAGGAGAGAGAGCTGACTAAAAAGCTGGATTCAAGCAGAAACAAAAGCATAAGTTAAATCCTACCAACAACTAAATATTAATACATACAATTCAGAAAGAGGTAGAGTGATACAAAATGGATAGATACCTGCTGCTCTGAATCTGTGTTTAGTACGGACCGATCTGTAATGAGCACTGCTCTGGAGATCTGCCTACAATTAAATAAAACAATTATGACATTTCACAAAAAAACATTAAAAAATAGCAATTCGGATTCACAGTTTCAGCAATACTGTGGGAAGGCTATTCAGACATATCATCTTTATTAATATGATTCGTAGTCGGATGTTTTGCTTGTTGCTGAAGCAGGACTACGTCAGGAACATTAATGAATTATTTTCAATGACCGAAATAGATGATGAATAAATCAGCCAGTGTCATTATATGAAACAGCTTGAATATCCTTCAGATTTTTTAAAAATTGGATGAAAATTCGCAGCAGCATGTTACAGGACTTTTTATGTTCCAAACAGCACAGGACACTTTGGATCAAGGGGAAATACGCTAGAGTGGACTTAATGAATCAAAGTTTCTAATCCTCCACTGCCTACAATTATTTCTGCACTGCACCTACTACTCCAGCTTTGCTTGTATCTCATCTGCAATATTTTGAAGACAAAGGCAGTATATGGCTACTACTTTTGGCAAGAACAACAAAAATCAGAGAAAACAATGACTTTTAACAGTTTTTAACAAATATGAAACCCCTAACACATTTAGTGGTATTGGATTTTTCATAAGGAAAATAGGAATATGATTTAGAGGACAATTTAAGAAAACATAAACATAGAAACTATAGAGTATGCCCTCAAGTATATACAAGAGAAGAAAAACTATGCACAGAACTAAGTTGTACGGCAAAGATAAAGCGGGAGACAATAGTCTCTTAAGTGTAACTTGCAGCATACTTTATACACTATTATTTAAAGAAATTTACTACATTTACTATCTTGCTACATACCTGTAAGACACATTTGTGCACACGCTCTCTGAAAGGTAACTATCTTCCACAATAAAATAGTTAGCACTTATTCTTTGTCCAAAATGATCCACAATAGCTTTGCATCTGTTAAAAAAAATAAATTTAAAAAAAATCAAGCCAAACTAAGAAATTTAGATATAAGGTAACAAAAGCACACCTGAGTTTTCAAAGCTGAGTTATATAGCACATCGTTCATATCTTTCAAATAAGTGAGCTACACATTTCTTTAATGTGTAAGCCTCTAAAACCACTCAACTGAAATTGATAACTAAATCCTAGACTTCTATATTCTACCTGGTATATATAACTTTTTAGATGCAATGCTATTATAGATAATGATAACAGAACATTAATAAATCAGTCACTTTATAAGGAAAATGAAATATAAGTTAGTAACAGTAGCATTTGCTCGTACATGAAGATGGCATACATTTCTTACTTCATTAAATACTGTCAATTATTTTGTAGGTGCTACCCTGTCACAGTGTTCTTTTCCCCCAGTCAGCAACCTTTACCAAAGATAACTTTATTTTGACAATAATATTTGCCAAATTAAATAGCAAATTAACTTGCTATATAAGGAAAAATCCTTGAGAAATATGTGCATTGCACTGTTCCAAAAGAATTTCTCTAAGCTTCTATATTTGTGACTAAAAATACCCTTTATCTTTAAGTTACATACAAAAGGATTAACTAAGTCACACTGCTTTAAGAGGAGCTTCTATATTTGTGACTAAATATACCCTTTATCTTTAAAGGATTAACTAAGTCACACTGCTTTAAGAGCCACACATGGTCGTGATAGATACTGTTCGTCTCTGAATATATCCAAATTCTGACACAAACATGTATTAGCCTGCCTCAGGCAGTATTTCCAAGAGTCACGTGTAACAGACTAACACTCTCATAAATGGGACAGAAAAGCAAACCACAGGAAAGAAGAATTCAGAATTCAAATTTCAAATTTTAATGGGGAAAAATCTCTACAAAGCAACAAACTTCAGATTTACATATGACATATATGAAACCAAACCATATATATGAGACAAATAAAAAGGAGGCTGCACACAGATACCGACCAAAACCAACCTCTACTGCTGATTCCTGTATGTCACGATCTGTGTTCTATTTAATTGCACATATTTTCCTCAAATTGAGACATTGCAAAAATTTTGAGAAACCCCTATAGGTTTAAAGAGCACTTATCTTAGCTTTTCTACCTAAACTGCATGGAAAATATGTGCATTACTATTAATTTTTTTATAGCTTGTTTCCATATCTTAAGAATCTTTAAGGCTTAATATTGATATCCAAAACAAGATTTTAAGGTTTTCTACAGTATCACAGCATTTACTGTATAACTAAATAAAGCAAATTAGCTTTAATTAACTTTTGCTGGCTGTGTGACAGTTACAGCATTTTAAAAATTAAATTATTCTGAATCAGTATCTCAATGTTTCAATCGATTTAACATACAGGATTCAAACCAGTAAATTCTTTCACACACATTTACATAGGTGCACACACACAGAAACATCAAGAGAAACAAAAGGATGCCTCAGACAGAGATCCCTTACAGATTTAAATGTGTTTTATCGTAGTGCAACATCATTCCCAGATCAGTAAATCTCTGACATGCAAGTTACGCTTTCTGAATAATCAGCGTTTCCGTAACTTCAAGTTATTCATTAGCTTCTGTGATCAAAATGATCTATAAAACCAGAGATGAGAATGAAACTTAAATAAGTAACAGCAACCAGCTGCCACTAGCTTTAGTAAACCAGTTGCTTCTGTGGTTTGAAGCCAGAACTGAAAGAGCACACACAATGCTTACTGACAAATATAAGAGGTTAATGACAATGAAGCACATTTTTACAACACTAACTTCTAATGCTGATTTCACAGGAATTTGGATACTACATGTACACCTGTGGGCAAATTCCACAGACAACTTGGGAACAGTAATTAAAAGAAAAGTCTAATGGTACAAGCTTTTTTTAGCTTAAGCATGCAATAATCTTCATACAGTTGCAATCGCGTTCTATTCAACATGTGTTTCACTTGCAACTTCAAGAAGTTTTTTCCTAACGTTAACCTAACCAATTTCATTCTCCAGCACTCATTTGAATACTGCCAATAAACAAGGAAGTCAAGCTGCTCCAGTTCATTTCTAATTATAACCTTTCTCATTGTTTATGAAACAATTTCCCCTGCCACCCCCCTAAACATTATCGAAGGGGAAAGGTTGATTAAATGTCATGTTGCATCACTCAAAGCCAGCAAAAGCAACTACATACTTTTTATTTCCCTGCTAAGTGTTGTTTCCTCTCCTTTGTTCAGGAATAGCTATCAGGTCATATGTTTGATAAGATTTTACACAGAAAAAGAGATAGCGCTTTCAATTTCAGTCTCCACTTTACTTCAAAGGATGATGCTGAGAAAATTTCTTTCAAGTACTGCTTCCAAATATGGAAAACACTTATGCACTGACATTATCAGGTCTCTGTCATCTGATATGTGTTGGGACAATGAATCATACAGAACCCTCCATTGACCTTCTTTCAATGTGTCTAGATAAAAGGATGAAAATTAGAATCCATCTCCTTGCAGTGCCACAAGTTATAAATGTACTTTATAGGGCTCATTATCCAAACTAATGGACTAAGGGCGACATCCTTGAAATGGACTTACCAGCACTGACAAAGCCAGTATGCAATATTTCAAGAGAGATATGTAAATTACTACGTGTTTGCTATATCTTTTTATTACAGATGTATAAATTTACATTTATCACATCTTGTCCATTTTTGAGACAGAATTATGTAATTGGAAACATATGTAAAGTGTGATCAACGTAAAATGCCTACCATTATTATTAATGCAATCCATGTAATTTAAAATACTTTAAATTTTATCATATGCACCCGAATAAGTGACCTACAATAAACATGGAGAAAATAAACAACAAAAAGAAAAATAATTATCATGCATACATTCAATGTTTTTGTTCCTCAGTCTGAGATATATGATGTGGCAGAGCACCAAGGTTCTATCAAGAACACAGGATGTTCTGCATGCCTGTTAAAACAGCAGATCTAATCTGATACAATATGTAAAACCCAGAAATTTACAAGTGGAATACCAAAACCTTAAAATAGGTATGTTCAAAAGTTTCTATACTTCACACTGTCTTCCTTGAATCTTATTTTCATAAACTATAAAAAGAGCTATAGTAACATGATAAAAATAACTGTATAGTTGAGGATGAAATCTACTGTTCTCCGTATAGACAGTTATAGATAGTAAAAAAGGAAAAGGCAATTCAACTAGATATTGAATGGGTTCTTATTTTTCTTGTGCTGGAGAGAGTATTAGCCATGTCTAAAAAGGAGCTGGAATAAACTTTGGTGATATTTAGGGACTTCAAATTAAACTAAACTATCTACAAAAAGTTTGAGAAGAAAATCAAGGCTGTATAAATCCTCCTACATGTACTAAAGCAAGAATATTAAAAATAGTGAAAAAATAACTGCACTGTTTTCCTTACATATACTAAAGCAAGAACATTAAAAGCAATGAAAAAATAACAGCACTAAGATCTTGATGAAATCTGGAAGCCTATGGAAGATGCTTATAAAATAGTAATCAATACTGCACCATTTGACTGAATTTCCACTGTTGTGAGTTTAACCTATTTGTAACCAAGGTAAGCTGTCTCTGAAACTAGAGAGACAGCTGTAGTGACAACAGGATATCAATTTGACTATTACCAATTACTATTAATGGCCTGTTGACTCAAAAGCTCAGTAACTCATAAATACCCTCATTAACAATTTGATAGCTGATCTTTATTAGGAAAAAACACTGAAGCCTAAAGCCAAGAGGAAATTAGAGTTGGTGCAGGGAGAGAATATACAGTAAGGAAAGAGATAACACAGAAAGAAGGGAAAGGAAATAGTGATGATCTTAGCCACACACAGGGCATCTTGCTAAGTAACACTCTAAGGAAAAGACTTAGCAAGTAAAAGCAGTGCTACATTCAGGTGAGAGAAAAGAAAATCTAAAGAAAATGATATAACTGAATAAAGACATATACCTGGGCCAAAGAAACTCAGCTTTTTCAGTGACACTTTTCCTATGGTAAAGATGATGTTTGACACTTTTAAAAATTATTAGGAAAAAAAGAATGTTATCTGATCCTTCTTTCCTTGGTGAAAATACTTTTAAAAAACCCCCCACATTTTGACCTTGGCTGCGTTATTTTCATAATCTCAAAGAAGTCTTGCCCCTTTTTTTTTTTTTTTTGATTTTGACCTTGGCTGCGTTATTTTCATCATCTCAAAGAAGTCTCGCCCTTTTTTTTTTTGTTTACTTTTATTTTGATGTAGAAATATTACTTGGTAAAATACTTGCTTTAGAACTATGGGAGACCTAAAATGAGACAACAGAAGCAGGCAGGTGACTAGACTTGGGAAGCTGCACGTGCTGTGCTTCTTCATATTCAGCATCAGATAACGGTATTATTAAAAGACCAATGTTTTTAGAATAACTGAAGTCTGGTAAACTCTTTTTAAAATACTTAGGTAATTCTGTTCCTCAAAAATCTATCCTTCAGTTTTAAGTGAATCACTAAAGCAGCTGAACAGCCTAAAAAAGACACTTGAAACCTGTCTGCAACCTCGAGGAACTTACTAGATCCAAAACATAAAATCAGGTTGAAGGAAAAGCAGCACTCCACCTTTCTTAGAATACATATAACCTTAACAAATTAATACCAAAGGTCTTTAGAATGTGCAAGAAAAGCTGGAAACTGGGGTAACCAGCACCACTGACCAGTTAAGATCTCCATGTTGTGGTGTTTGGAAGTTGATAACAACTATAAGCTTTGTCCCTCTGAAAGAGCCAGTTAACTATTTAAACACTATTGGAAAATAAAGCTGCCTACAGTAAAAGTTCAAATATTACTGTTAAAATAAACTACAGAGTTTATGAAAGGGGCATAATTTGATTTGCATATGAATCATGCACTTAAAACAATGACGCACATGATGAAATATGATCACATTTGCATCTCAAAGTCTAAAACTGTGCGATGAACTTCAGAACCTTAAGGCATGACAGCAAGATAAAATCTGTTGTTTATAGAATTTCAGGGAAATCAGACACTACTTGACCATGTCATGACAAATTGAGCTACAAGTACCATGCTCAAAGAATCAAGTGTGCAGGGCAACTGGGAAGTAAACACATGACACATCATTTAACTACTGATTTGCCTAATAAAAAGTTACTACATATTTTCTACTTAATTTTCAAAGTTTTCTACAGAACATTTTGAACTTTTCAATTACAGAAACCAAGCTGAAAACAGACTCTTGAGAGAGCCAAAGCCTGCAGTTAGACTAATAACTGATAGAATATATGTAACAGAAACTATGACAATTTACAGAGGTGTGAAAAATGCCACAATGGAAAAAACTGTGGGTTGATTTTTCTTATCTCAACTTTAAACCCACCTACAGGCCTGATATTGTTGTAAAAGAATTTATCCTAGGATAAGCGGGCAGCATAGTTTATGACAACAATCTACCTAAAAACTCATTAAAGTCTTTTCTCTTGGAGTGACATGCATTATCGGCAAAGATTAATCTGATGAGTCTTTAGGTGAGCTCCATTTTTAAAAATGCAATAACAGAGGGCTTTGTTGTCATCTGATGAAAATCAATTAGAGTAGGTAAGGCCACAAGGAAAACTAACATCACTCATCACCAGCCCCCCGGCAGCTGAAATGATTTGTCTTCCAAGCTTGGGTGATCAGGAGCTGTAGTAATATCACAGGGAAATTAATTTAGTTTCTATATTCTAGACCCACTTTCCTTGTTCTGGAGGACCTATACACAAATTACTTTTAATCAAGGTTGATGTGTTATTAATACCAAGGAGGATCTTTGAAGAATCATTTTTTTAAAACCTGACGTAACACATTTTTCATCTGTATTTTGTATATAAACAGAAGGTTACTTCTATTACCCGTACCGTCCAGATTCTTTGTCCACTACAAGGCACCGCACAGGATGGCGAAGACAATAGATACCACCAAACACAGCGCACAACCTAGAAACAGATGAGGAAAAAGCAAAGGTTACACCTATCACAATTAATTGCAATCAAGGCGAGCGTGTTTCGTAAGCAAGGAAAGTACTGGGCACGTTTTAGTACGTTTTTAATGACACGTCTTCGTCTCTGAATCAGACAATCAAAACGCAATCAAAATAAAGCAACATCCTTTTTGCAACAGATACACTGCTAACTTTTGGTTTTTATATTAGCATTTATCTTATTCCTCTAAATAGTCCCATTAGCTTTAGCACTCATTCTCTGTTACCATCTTCAGTCATGCAGGATGGAAAAGCATCTGTTTACTGAAGATGCACAGAATCTCTGCTGACCACGCTACATTGCACATGGTATGGAATGAGAGTATAAGAACTCACAATAACCCAACACAATTCCTACTAGAATTCTAAGTGTGATTCAGAAATTATTTCTCTACTCTTACAAAATGCACTGTGACAAGTTCACTGGCTACAAGCAGCTTACATTTTGAGGGCACTGAGAAGTCCTCAATAGAATGAAGACTTATTACGATCTAAAGCTGATCACAAATAGTGACTCGTCCAGGTTCTGCTTATGTTATGATATACTTCCTTAAGATATTCTGCACATGGACTGATGATAAAAAAATCCTAAATGAAAAAAGGAACCAGTTTCACACGTCAGTTTTTCAAAAGCTAAAGTATACCAAGCTATTCAGCAGTTTGCCACTTAAAAACCAAACCAATTACTTAAAACAAAGAAAATTACACTGCTCAAACATTAAGCCAATATCACAACTCATCCATTTTTAAACTCTAAGGAGATTCAGAATTCAAAGAAACTAGATTATGACATTTAAATATGAGGGACTCCATGCGAAATCAGCCCACTGAAAAAATTCACCACTAGTCAGGTTGTTTTATTATCCCCTTGAAGATATCTCTGACTAAAACTCTTCACCAGATGAATGTGTCCTACGCACAAAGTCTGAAACTGCACTCCTGTGAAGCTGCACAGTAAAAGTTCTGTTGGTCTGGGGATAAACATGATCCCAGGTTAATCCCTGCATCCCAGCTTCCTGTATCTGCCAAGAGCCAGGCTTAATCTCTGGGGATTATTTTTCTGTTGATTTGATGTCACACGAGGTAAGGTAAATTAATTAAGGTAAATTCACAAAAAATGGAAGTTTAGTTTCTGCAAGTGATGCCTAAAGTTTTCACTGGATCCACGTTAACATTGAAATGACTGTCATACCACTAGTTTTAACTTTTAATTCTTAAAAATGCTGTCAAGCAAGTAAAAACAACCAATATTCTTTTTGTTATGTATTTTAAAAAAACGCTAAATCTTTTGTGAGAGCACTATAATGCAGAGAAATTCATGATCTTACAGAAACAGGATATATGTTAGAGATTCTCAAGGACAAAGCTTCATGATTAACTATGAATTAAGATAAACTTCAGACAGTTTTTTGTTTACAGTGCATTATTTCAGGGGCATTATTAGAAGAATAATACAAAATGCAAAGGGTGAAGCTCTCTAGAATGTAGTGTGACAAAATGTAAACCAGGAAGAACATTAAAAACATTTTTTTTAATTATGTTAAAAAAGAAATATTACTTCTCCTTAAAATAGCCAGTCATCATGGAAATCACTTAGTGGAAAAAGGTAAAGAAAAAGGGTGGGGGAGACGTGCCTGACCCCTTACAGTACAATTTCAAGTTTGGACTGTTTGCAATGTCAGATCTATCTTGGGAATCTTTAACGGTTTATTTATTTATTTATCTACTTATTTTAGAATCTCCAGTAGTTCACTCAGATCAGTCAGCTATCACTGACCTCTTTCTTCTCATGTATGCTGAAGAGAAAGAACAAACAATCTGCATATTGATAAAAACTGTATAGCCTTTTCTTAGAGAGAACCACTCTATGAGAGACAACTGTTAAATGCTATCAAGTGACATGTGACAATTCTTCCTTTGTCCTACAAGTTAAATATACCTGTGTTCTTCTTGGCATCCCTGTTATTCAAAACTAAATAGCCTCTATGAGTAAATCATAACCCAGTCTGTAGCACAATCAATACAGTGACCCACTGTTCCATTTTACCGTGCTGTAAGTTTTCTGAGTTGCTGTTCCTCAGCTGAGATTTAGTGTAACCCGGTCGTTTGATGTTCAGCTCACAGATGGAAGGACAGAGCTGAAACTTGGAGGGCACAAAAATTACAAGTTACCCCTGCCGTTTCAGTAACAGAGTCTGCCTAGGTATTCAATTTAAAATATGAGTGTGTAATTCTATTTATGTTCTGGTAGAGTTTATATGGTAATTTAACAGATTAATGCAACTACGTTTCTAATACCCACCTGGCATCACGCTAGCCAAAGCAAACTATCAAAATCAGAAAGTTGATGGGTTTTTCTTTTTATTTTATTTTGAAGTTAAACAGCTTTAGGAATAAGCCAAAGCAAACTATCAAAATCATAAAGTTGATGGTTTTTTTTTTTTTATTTTATTTTGAAGTTAAACAGCTTTAGGTATCTGTACCTAGATGATGAACTCAAAAAGAAAACTTTAATTTTGCAAACCTAACTTCCTAAAACGGAATCCTTACTGGCACCTAAGTCATTAGATAGTTCAAAGACAGTTAGTACTGCAACACCTTTTAAACTGCATCAATGATGCAAGCAGGCAGTTGAAGTGTCTTACTCACTCACATCTCTTCTGAGTTGCACTCCAAAAGGTACCAGTCTAAGGAAATGTCAGCAACGTCACTTACTACTGGTTGAATCAGAAGATCCAGCTCCCTAGAAATACCTCTTCTATTCATGCAAAAGCAGGGAGAACATACACCATGTTGAATCCCAACCTTGGCTGGTTGGAGATTGTGGAGGATGACACAAAGGTTACACATTCACTGCAGTTATTATAGAGCCTTCAGCTACAGGTTTACTATCTCTAATGCTGCAATCAAGGGTTTCTTGCCTGACAAAGCACGTATCAGGATCTCTCAAACCAATGCAGATGAACTTATTTCATATGTTGTATAAACGAACAGTGCTATTAACCTAACTAAGATTCCTGTGTTAAAAACAATAAATTATATTTTTCCTTTGACTTCAGCCACCATCAATGGATTTTTGATATATGTACTTTATTTTTCCAGCATGCTTTGAAAGAACTTTGCTGCTTGGCTGCGCAAAAATGTGAATTACTTATTTTCAAGAGTAGTCTGCTATCCAGTGGAGGAGGGCATGACCTGTTTTCACAGCAGGCCAGCAGAAAACTTCTCTTTTTAAATGAAAATGGAAAGGAATTTTGATTGTGTTGTGTTAAACAATTACAAAGAGCCAAAATACCTATCAAAACAGCCTAGCATGAAAAATGACATGATTAGGAAGAACTTGCCAAAATTATTTAAATATAGAAATTCAAATATTAAACTAAATGGCATCCCAATAATTTATGACAAAGTAAAATCATTGTGCTAATATTACTTTCATACAATAGGCTATTCAAGATGATTTGACTGTACTTCAAGTACAAGGCAACTCTTTGATACCATTAACCCTAAATGACAGACATTTAAACTGATATTACTCTAATTAACTGGCGACTGCCTACACCAATAATTCAAGTTTTGCTGAAAGATAGCAACAACACTGTACTCAACTTCAACTTTGCCCTGGTGACATCAAATCATATTACAGCTAAATTAACAGTTGTGAAAATTTTTGGCCTGGTAGCCCTCCATCATACACAGCCTTTAATGCCATTTCAGTTCCCATCAAGGCAGGAATCAGCAGTTGTAATTGTTAATGCAGCTGTGAAACAATAGGACATATTAAAACCTGAATTTTTGACAGCATATTCCCGATGATTTATGAGTTTGTATATAATTTGATTATTCTATTAATTTTACTGATTACTGATTCAGCTAATACAGTGAAGGTCACTTACAAAATAAATCTTAATTACATTTCACAGAAAGTAACTGCCTCCAACTAGCTGTTTTCTTTAATTAAACAGTAATGTAACAAGAGAGAAAATAGGCTTCAGGGTTGCTGCATCTGTTGCTACAAGAGGAGTTTACTGCTTTGATGTAATGCTCTCTGATATTAATTGAACAAAAATAGAATGTCTCTCCATCTGACATCTTGATTTTCAACACAGAGATATCGCAAACACACTTAAATTACAGACTTACCCCTAGTTCATTTTGAAGCTACATTAAAAAACTGGAAAGTCGTATCACATAGTTTCACATAAAAAAAAAGTATTTTTTATTTCCAGCATGTAGTTTGTCTTCTACTTTCTACAATTCATGGAGTGATTACTTCAAAAATTGAGTATTTTTTCTCCCCAACTGTATAGTCCTCTATAGCAAAAACTATTTGCTACCCTCCTTAAAGATGAATACTGCATGTACAGCACAGCAACCTTTGGAGAAAGATCAAAGAAAAACATGCCAAGTGCTGAATTAATGAATTGTCCTATTTCAATTTATTTTTTACACACAAAGCAAGCTGTGACCTGGTTCTTACATTAAATTCTGTGTTTCCTGAAAGGTCCTTAAAACTTCAGTATTTCTACAATAGTGCTGTATGTTCTAAAAACATTAAAAACTAGAATGTAGGCAAATCAAATGAATAAAATGGCTACTGTTAAAAAAAAAAATAGATAGTTCATTTTCCCAACACAGAGTTTCTATTAAAAAATTAAATCTCAGTACGTGCACCCACCCAAATGAAGACAAAAAAATAAATAAATAAAAACCAGCACCAAATAAATAATGAAGATGATAATAAACGTCAAAAAAAATCTGCTTTGGCATAGCAGCTGCTTAGCATTAAGTCATTTCTGAAGCAAAAGTCTAGTTCTATTTGTAGCCAGCGCTGCACTTCAGAAGGGCTCTGGTTCAACACCACCCTCACACAGGCTACGTGAACGCGGCCACTTCAGCCCCAGTCGCCTGGAAGCGTTAGGGAGGCTGTTCTAGCGCACACAGCTGCTGAAAAAA